CAGTCAAGCAAATTATTTTTAAATGTTTTTAATCTTTTAATTGTAATTCATAAATACAATAATTTGAGTAGGTGTTAAATTTAACTTTTTTACTTTCTATCTATTTCATTGTAATGATTACTATTTTACATATTAAATGATTAAGCACATTTTTGTTAAAAAAATATTTTTTACAAATTGAAAATGAATAAAAATAGATGATGAAAAATAGTTTTTGTCACGCCTGCACCGAAAGTTTAGTTTTCGACCATGGTTGAAGCGTTCGAAAGCGTCCTTTTTCCGTCCAGCGGGCGGTAAAGTGGAAATCCCCAAAGTGCCGGGCGGAAAAGAGGAAATCCCCAAAAGTGCCGGGCGGAAAAGAGGAAATCCCCAAAAGTGCCGGGCGGAAAAGAGGAAATCCCCAAAAGTGCCGGGCGGAAAAGAGGAAATCCCCAAAAGTGCCGGCCGCCGGGCGCGTATCCCCTGCACAACCAGAAAGTAAAATGTATACCTACCACGGTTCTTACAAAACATAAACTTTTGGTTACATCTTAAATGTATAGTATAACCTCTTTGCATGACGCATAGATCCCTGCATAACCTTTTCCATGAACGCAGGGGCGTGACAAAAAATAGTATGTGTGGCTCGCGCGGGAAGGCCATTTCAGTCTTGTGCGAAATGCGGCACTCGCCTACGGCTCGTGCCGCACACGACGCCCGCGACTGAAATGGCTCACTTCCCGCCCTTGCCACACAATATACTATTGTTCGTATAACAATAGTTTTTAAAAATATTGCAATTATGTAATTTTTTTATTAGTTTACTAGCTGATCCCGTGTACTTCGTTACCCGTTAAATGTAACAAATCTATATGACTCAAACTTTGTTCAATTCGTTATTTAATATTCAGTGTATTGTGTTCAAAATGTATCTTAATTTCTCCGTTGCTCGGAATAATAATAATAATCCTGGTTCGCAGCAGTATATTATTATCATGTAGGCAATCTACTTGAGGTAGATCGCGGATCCCGTGGTGTTTGTACGTAAGTGTATGATTTAACTCTAAAGTATCAAAGTTATACCAAGTTTGTTGTATTCCACCTATGGTGGCTTAACATAATCAGTTTATGCAAAATCCTAACAGTAGTAATATCAGATGAATAAAAAAAAAACTTTAAAAAAATATTTAAATTAGCCTGTCTTCTGAACATTCATTTACTTTATATATTATATTGACAAAAAACAAAATACAAATCAACAAACATGCCCGATTAACCAATAGCAACTAATATATTAAATTATAATACGCTGTTGCGCCACTGTTATATTTTTTTCATCCAGATTTCCTACTTTTCCGGTTGATTTTCCTAAAATTTTCTTTCGTTTAAATCTTCTCCTGTTAACTACGAACATCCTAAAAGAATTTGAGCCAAATCTGACCAGCCGTTCTCGAGTAAAAAATAAAAATAAAACAATAACAATAATACAAATCAACAAACATGACCGATTAACCAATAGCAACCAATATACAATACACTATTATTATATTAATATGAAACTATTTTTTTTATGATTTAATTAATTTTTTTCTAATAATAATTTTTATTATTATTACATTTTTTTCATGGTGAATTTGACAGCTCATTTCGGAAAACCGTATATAATTTTGGTGAACCGTAGGCAGCATTTAAAATCTCCGATGAAACTCGTATAGTAACGTCTATAAAGACTTTTTTTTTTTATATTTATTTATTTAAGCATATTTACAATCTATACATTTGTACAACAAGGAAATTTGATAACATAGGTAATAGTAAAATTACATGAATGTCTTGAGGGGGGAAAACCGCGTCCTTCAACAGTGGAGACCGTTAGGCAAGAGCGTATCTTGGCCATTTTCTTTTTAATCTCCCCAGGAGTGTTGTTGGGGAATCTAGGACAAAATATCCAAGGAAAAAATATCCTGTACTAAAATATACAAGTAAAAATATCCAAGGTTAAAATATCCAACGGATAAAATATCCAGGGATAAAATAATCAATATATGGGACAAAATATCCAAATAAAAAAAAATCATAAAAATGTATTATTAATACTCATATGATTTTTAGATTCTGAGTGAAACGATGAATGTATTGATTTTACAATGATGTGTGTTTTTTTTTTTATTTTTTTTTTTATTTTTTTTTTTATTTTTTTTTTTATTTTTGTGTCTGTCATCACGTTTTAGGACAGTAAAAGTGCTTGGATTTTCTTCATCAGTAGCTTTTCTGATAGGAAAGTGAATCTAGTTGGTACTTTGGGGGGTCAAAAGTATAAATTTCCCAATAGTTTTCACAAGCGCCGGGAAAAAAAACATACAAATTAAGGAAAAACGGGAATTTTTACGCAAAATTGGTTTTCCAAAAAATCGATTTTGGTTTTTGGTGTAACTCTAAAACAAATGAACGTATATACATGAAATTTTCACTGGTTGTTTATATTTGCATTTTCTATACACGATAACATTTTCAAAATATTTTGATTTATTTTGAACTGTTTAGGGACATTTTCATTTTCCATTTTTTTTTAGTTTTTTTTCTAAAAATAGCAATAAAATTTTATTTGTTGGTTGCGAAAGCTTGAAAATTTAATAGAAGGCTCCTAATATATTGTTTCAAAGGCAGATGAAAAATATTAAAAATCCTTAGTCACAATTTTTTTTTATAAGCATTTAAAGTTCAAAAATTGACAAAATATGGAAAAATCACGAAAATTAGCAAATTATTTTGAGTTAAGAATTCGTAAAAATTTTTCTTTTTAAATCTAAGATTTGAAAATTAAACACAAGATTCCTTATAAGATTATCTACCTTTATCAAAAAAAAAATGTCTATAAGAAACTCAAATTAAATTTTTATGAGCGTTTGAAATTCAAATTTTTACAACATTGGATGTTCACTCGATTTCCCATGTAGCGATTTCCTTATTTTGTTGTAATTCAAAAACAAATAACTGTAGATACATGAAAATTTCACTGAATGTTTATATTAGCATTTCATATACACCATACAATTTTGAAAATATTTTGACTCTTTTTGAGCTGTTTATGGACATTTACAGCTTTCAATTTTTTTTAGTTTTTTTTTCTATAAATATCAATAAAATTTTATCTGTTGGGACAAAAAGTGTAAAAATTTAATACAAGGCTCCTGATATATTGTTACAATATCAGTTGAAAAATATTAAAAATACATAGGCACAATTTTTTTTTATAAGAATTTAAACATCGAATTTTGACAGAATTTTTCAAAATCTCGAAAATTATTAATCATCGTAATTAATAAATTATAAAATGTTCAGTTTTTATAGCTAAGGATTAAAAATTTAAAACAAGATTCCACGTAAGTAGATAATTCTCTTACCAAAAAATCTAAAAAATATACAATCACAGTTTATTTTTATAGTAATTTTATGTTCAAATTTGGACGAAATTACATATTAAAAAACCTAGTTATTTTGTTGTGATTATATAATATTATTCGTGGGTACCTACTTGAAACTTCTAAAGTGTACTATTATAATATATCTATGATAGTATCAGGGTTTGTTATTGATGTTGATGTATAACGTGTTATAAGTACCTAATGGATATTGTGATAATGTGATATGCTTAATTTGGAATTTATTATAGGTCAATTTTTTTTAATACTATAGATATGTATATAATTTGTCTTAAACCTAGACTGACATACCGTCTTCGCTCAGAATCGTTTTTCTTATACAATGATATTGTATCATTGAATTCAAATTTAATAGCATCCATTATACAGTGACCCACTTGTAACCTACTGTACAGCAGAGCGACATCCACTTACCCACCTTTTTTTATTTAAATTCATTATATTGTTCATTTTTGAATCACGTTTTAATATCATTTAATATCAATAATACTTTATAATACAGTAATAAAATAATAATAAAAATAATATGTTGCGTTATATAATATAATAATTATATCTTTAGTTATAGGAATTGTGTATTACACTATATTATCATCTAAAAGTTTTTAATAATATTTAAATAAATATAGTCAGTTCAGATAAAATGTGTTTATAAAAAAATTGTTTAAAAAGAGGTAATAAATGATCGTATTATATTTGCTATTGCAATTAAAAAAATATCTAATTCTTTTTCACCATTAATATATTCAAGACAAAGGAGCTTAAGTTTTTCTTGCATCCTTACATATTTCGGTTTTTTTCGAGGTAAGTGTATTTTTCTAATCAACATAAATGAAAATCTTATAATTTGTCTCGTATGTCAGCACTTATGTGTACAAATAATACGTTAGAACTAACTAACTAACTAACTAACTTACACTTCCATTGTAGATTATTATAATAGGTATACATTATAATACACTATTAAACAACTGAATATTGAGAAAAATAGCTTATTGATTTTTGATCAAATAAAAAATACCCAAACCTGCAGAGTGCCGCCCAATGCCCATTATAGATCGTATGGGCCTATATCTACTTTTCATTTTTTCGTGTTTAAAATAATGTAGATGTTTATTTCTAATTAAAAAAATTCCACATTAAATATAATATAATAAACATAACATACATTCTTTCGTATATTTAGACAGCCTTATCACTGTCACTTATGTAAATTTAAAAACATTTTTTTTTGAAGTGAAACTTCTTTACAGAGGGTACAAAAAAAATAAACAACGGTCGGGCACGGTCGGCATAACGGTCGGCCGTCACGAGCCGCCGTCACGGACCAGCTGTGCATCGGTTAACCGGTAACATAGAAACGTAGTTTATTATTTTTGTAGTACCTATGTAATAACAACTAATTATATTAATTAGATTTTTTTATAAAATATATAAATTCTGTGTTTCTATATTATCTATGTTATCTATGTTATCGGTATTATATTTGTGAATTATTATTACAACAAAAAGATTGTCATTTTAGCTATATATCACAATAACGACGATATAGTTAATATTGTCACTCCATTGACTGAGATGACAATAGGGCAATCAAAGTTATATAATTCCAAAATTACTCCAGTCGGTGAATTTTGTGTTGCTGAGTGTTTAAGACAAAATGAACCAATCATCATCATTGTAGCAGTTTATATCTCACCAAATCAAAAAATAGATGAAATAGATGATATAGTTTATTTTTTAAAAAGATCGTTGATTGCCTATTCTACCAAAGGTACACCATTACTCGGCAGGGGAGAAAATAAACTGCCTATGATTCTGAGTGGAGACTTTAATGTTAATTTTGCATCGGATAGATCAGAACCATTAACACAATTTTTTCTGTGAACATCTCAATTTATCAATGAATAATGATCCAAAAATTCCAACAACGCGGTCAGGAACCACAATAGATGCTATTTTCACACGATATCTTAATAATGTACAATCAAAAACGTACATAACTTATTTCAGCTATCATAAGCCCATTGTATCATTAGTTAAAAATAAATAATAATAAAAAAAAAACAGTTCTATTAAATATAAAATTGTAAAGTGTATTTTTTTTATTTTATTCCAATACCTCATATCATTTGCATGACTGAAAGAAGTTTCACTTCATCCCCGAGTACTTGTAACACGCTCGACTTATTTTTTAATTTTAAAGATTTTTATTTAGGTTACGTATTTACTATCATACAGATATTCAAAGATATCGCAAAAGTCTAAAGCTGTGTCGTCTTCTCTGTCTTTCAGACAGACCTAGTCGGACAATGAACTATAGTGTTGCCGTGCGGAGATCGCTACGTAACAAGTAAGACGACGCTGAATATCATTACAACCAGACATTCAGTTCGGCCACTTTGGCCACTATCGCGGACAAAATTTAATGACGGAACCTGGCATTCTGACCGTGTCAACCATCAACCGTAGTTTAGAGTCTATGACCCATCCGACGACGGATCAGACCGGCTTTCCACTGAGCGGTATCCGACCGCTGTCCACTGGGAACGAGGCAGTCGTGTACACCATTGTAAGCCGGGTACATAACTTGGTGAACCAGGTTATACGTTGCGTGGTGCACCACCAGGTTCACTATGCGGGCGCCAATAGGTACACCGTGTTAAACAGAGGTAACCAGGATACACTATAGGCGGTGCACCGTCTTGGTGTATACCTCGGTCGATTATACCGCCACAATGTGCGAGTCGATCAGTACCGTCGCCGCTAGGCGATAATTCGGTTACCGACCGGTATCTGATCGCTATCCACTATAAGTGCGAGGCAATCGTGTATACCATTGTATACCGGGTACATAACTATATGGTGAACCAGGTTTTACATTGCGTGGTGCACCACCAGGTTAACATTGCGGGCGCCAAGGTACTCCGTGTTAAACAGAGGTACACCAGGATAATACACTACACGGTGCACCGTTGTGGTATGTATATCTTGGTAGCACGATTATACCGCCCCTGTGCGAGTCGCTCGGTACCGTCGCCGTTTGGTGATAATTCGGTGGGTAGTCCGTCTGAAACGTCGTCGTATGAGTCAATAGACTCTCCTGACACGTGTTGGTGATTAGACGTCAGAGTAACCGTTCCCGCCGCGATGGTAGCTAAAGTCGCCGGGCCCATGGCTGTTATACTAATTATAGTCCGCTTCGTCTTAGGTCCACTGAATATTCTCATTTCAAACCAATGACTTAAAAACATATTTGGCGAAATAACAAACGAAAACAGCTATAGTCATAGGTACGTACTTTACAAACATAATACTATAATCATTTAAATAAAATCAATGTATATTATACATTATTTTTTGTAATCAACGTCTATAATAATGATAGTATATTAAGTGGAACAATGAATGTATTGATTTTACAATGATGTGTGTTTTTTATTTTTTTTTTTTTTTTGTGTCTGTCATCACCTTTTAGGGCAGTAAATGTGCTTGGATTTTCTTCAACAGTATCATTTCTGATAGGAAAGTGAGTCTAGTTAGTACTTTGGGGGTTTATACCTTTACTGATGCTCTTCATAATTCAATCTTGAGATTTGTCCCTATATCACGCTTCTATAAATCCAGTTTTCCCACATGGGTATCTAAAGACCTCAAATCGTTAATTTATCGTAAGAATAAAGCTCATGCAAAGTTTAAATCTACCTTCGACCCTGCTGATTAAGCTGCTTTTTCATTGCTTCGTGCTAAATGTAAATATACTTCCAAAAAATGTCATAAAGAATTTGTCGAACAGTCTGAAAAATCTCTGTCTTCAAATCCCAAAAACATTTGGGATTTTGTACCCAAGAATCGTTCCCACAATGCTGTTCCGAACACAGTTTCTTTAGATGGTGTCAATAGTTCTTGCAAGCTGGAAAGTGTTAATCTGTTTGCTAAACATTTTTGTTCGGTTTATTCTTCAGAGCCCGTTACTTCAAATCTTCAGACATTAGATATACAGTTCTTCGACCTAACAACTGTTACTTTTCTGCAAACGATGTCCTCCTCAAGCTTAATACTTTAGAAAATGTGTCTTCTACTGGACCCGATGGAATACTTGGCGATTTCCTCTACAGAACGAGGTTCATTATTCTCTATCCTCTTTTGACCCTATTTCGAAGATCCCTCGATGATAGTATTTTTCCTGACATGTGGAAAATTGGTTCTATTACTCCCATTTTAAAATCAGGTTTCCGTTCGTTAGTCACTAATTATAGACCAATTTCTATTTTAGGGCATATTTCTAAGCTCTTTGAGTCATTAGTCTTAGACGCAATTCAACCTTCTGTAAATTTGATCTTAGCCAATGAACACAATGGTTTCCGTCCTGGCAGATCAACGGTTACTTGTAACCTTGTTTTCTGCAATAACATATTCGGATCTTTTAAAAATGGAACACTGGTTGATGTCATATATTATACCGACTTTGCTAAGGCGTTTGACTCCGTTAACCATGAGGTTCTAGTCTCTGTTCTTCGTGATACTGGATTTGGGGATCCCATCCTATCTTGGTTCAATTCATTTTTAGTAAATAGATCTCAATGGGTTAATTTGTTCAACACTAAATCTGACACATTTTTATCTCCCTCAGGCGTTCCCCAAGGGGGACTTCTATCACCTCTTCTATTATCTTTGTTTGTTAAAAGTGCTAGCTCCTCTCAAACATAGCAAACTTCTTTGTTTTGTCGACGATATGAAGATTTTCCTCGAAATTAACTCTGTCGATGATTGTCTCAAAGTCCAGTATGATTTAAATAGTTTCTCCGCATGGGCTGAATCTCTCGGTCTCACATTAAATATTGAAAAGTGCCGGTCAATGACATTCACAAGAAGTCGCTCTCCTATTACTCATCTTTACTCATTGAATGGCTCTAATTTGATTCCAGCTGACTCTAGCATCTGTGATCTCGGTTTTACTTTTACTCCATCTTTTTGTCCTAGAGCTCACATAGACAGAGTTACATGCAAAGCCCTTAAGGTATTGGAATTCGTCAAAAGAATATCTAGTGACTTTAAGCTCTCCGCTTCCCTCAAAGCAATTTACTGTGCACTTGTACGTTAAATCGTAGAATACGGCTCAGTTGTATGGGATCCCCAAACAACTGATGCTTGTCTTCAACTAGAACGGGTCCAGCGAAAATTTTTATGTTACATGAAACATCCTCTTAACGTAAACTGCACCCCTCACGATTACACTCCTCTTCTCAGTTTGCTTAACTTATCCTCCCTAGCTGACCGTCGTCGCTTCAATAATCTCTCTTTCCTTAACAAGCTTCTAACAGGCTTGATCGATTCCTCATCCCTTCTTTCTCTCATTAACTTTAGAGTTCCTGATAGGTCCACTCGCAATAATCATCCTTTCTTAATACCCTTCTGCACTAGAAACTATGTAAAAAATGAACCTATTACGAGAATAATGAAAGTAGCCAATGAGGATCCATTGTTCCTTTAATAGTTTTACTTTTGTATTCATTGTTTAGTTTAATTTTATATTTTATACTTTGTTTTATTATTCATATTATGTTATTGTATGATTGTATTGTACACCTAATTATTTCAACCTGGGCTCACACCCGTTTATTCAATAAATAAATAAATAATAATATGCAAATGTATTCAATGTAAATTATACATTCCACCGGCTCCTCTGGACGGTTACTGGGTGTATAGAATATTGGTAACCATAATAATAATCAAAAATAGTAATAATAATAATCATAAAAAGGTGTCAAGTGGGTACCGCTCTGTTGTACAGTTGTATTGGATGGGTTATATTTGAATACAATAACTGGTTAAGTTCAGGCCGGCCTTTGAAAATATGGGCAAATTCCTGGAGAATACATAGGAGCCCCTGTCTTTGTTCGACCTGATCTCAGCACAGGTGGACATAGATTCATCGAGTTAGTTTGAAAGTGCATTTCTGGGACGTGCGTGGCGTTAATTTCTAAATCTCTAGGTGGTGATGAAAACCTGTCTAAACTATCCATAGTAGATAAGCAATGTTCCAATCTAGTGGGCACGACGTGTTTTTTAGTATAATTTACATATAGACGGGTGATTTGCGCAGCTGGAGCCTCTCCGTCGTCGCCTCACAATAAACATTCTTTTACCCATTGAGGAAATTTGAGACACTTTTAAGAATAGTCAAGGACAACTCCGTATTTGGATATCCTATAATTTCTAAGATTGATGGGGGTAGCAAGATGTGGGAACACGAGGAATACACCTGAGGCGTTTTTCCAAACAATACCAGGGGAATGAATACTTGCTTCGTGATTTTCTTTCATCGCCCACTCACGGTCTTGATAGTGACTGGTCATCATGGTTCCATGCTGGTTGATGTGGACCGTTTTCTGATGACTGGTGAATACCTGGTGTCTCGTTGATTCCTCAATCTCTGTCAGTACCGACAATAAGGCGTTCGTTGTTTGGGGGCCCCGACCACGAATAACCATTCCCAAAGTAGACGGATAATACTATAAACCTATTGACCAGTTTGATCTTGTTGGTATAATCATGCCAACAAGATCAAACTGGTCAAAAGCTGGAGATAAGTATTTAGTTTTAGCAATCCAGGTCATCGCACGAGTGTTAATCCCCACTGGTGGACGATATTGATAGGGTTGAGAAATTTCATTCCAAATTTTTCTTTAAGTGGCAGCAGACCAAAAATGTTGGCGTATCAACTTCTTCACCTCCTCATAGGTGGTTGGAACAGGCATGAGTGAGTAAACAGTACTTGGGAATATTTGGTCAACCGCTGTTGAAACAGTTAAATACGTTGATCGTCGCGTCGTATGGAAAATTACACAAGTAGTATTGGTCTAGCTGGCTTAAGAACTGTGAACTCGGACACGACATCGGTAAAACGTTCCGATTGACTAACTGACGTAGACACATACGATTGGCCGGAAGGATTTAGTAATGGTCGAGAGTCGTTGATATGGGTTTCCGTAGAATTGTATATCGGCTAGATTGTTTGAGCTTGAGATGTAGTGCGTCGGAGGTACATGTAAATTGGATTGTATCTGTTTCGCGGTTTCCTTAAGAAAGTCGACGACGGCGTTGATCTTTGCTACACTATCGTCAGATTTCGTGACTGCAGATCGCTGATCGACCTGGTTGTATTGAAGAATGGCAATATTTTTCTCAGTTTTATCTACACCCGACTCAACTGCATCATGCAGTTTAGTAAAACCACTAAAATGATAACAGTCAGACCTTTGTACATGATAGCTGGCCATTCATAATAGTGATAAGATCGGTAAGGGTAGGTTCTACTTTGATAGGCTGCGGAAAGACATTCTCTGTTGCCATTTCAGCGTAGTTACAGTTTTGGGTGGTGTAACCGACGTAGTAATTTTGGTGACATTGTGGTCATTGCAGGCTGGAGAAGACGGTCGATTAGACGACCTGGAGGGTAAGTCTCTCGCTCACCGGCGTTGTACATAAATGGTAGGCACGGAGTTACGGAAAATCAAACAATTGAAAAGCGAAAGAAAACAATCAGTAGAATTGAATCACTGATCTACAATGGATACCAAAAGACAAATAAAAATAAAATAAATAAATATTGACCTGCAAGATCTCAGGCCCAGAAAGTAGAGAGTTTGATTTTATATCTTAAGACATAATGTCATTATCACGAAAAATAAATTTATTATACTATATCAATGGAAATCGTCGCCAGAACGACACACAGGAACACAAATAATAGTAGGTTGGCAAATATACTTGAAAATGACCATGGAGAGGTACACAGTTTGAATAAAACAAAATGAACATTAATTAATAAAAAAAAAACAGCCAAGTGCGAGTCGTGGTTTGTCCTATTATCTATAAACATAATGGCAACACTGCTTATATTATAAATTATATTCTGACGGATTTTTAGTATTTGTTGTTATAGCGGCAACAGAAATACATCATCTGTGAAAACTTCAACTGTCTAATTTTAACGGTTCGTAAGATACAGCCTGGTGATGGACGGACGGATGAAAGGACAGGGAAGCCTTAATAATAGGGTCCCGTTTTATCGTACGGAACCCTAAAAACGGAAAAAATTTAAAATGTCTATAAATAACTCATAACGAGTTAAAATATAATTTGAAAATTTTATCATGTACACAAAATAATAAAATAAAACTTTTTATGAAAATTTCAAGTACCTACGGTCATAAAATGTTATACCTACTAATAGATATAGCTGTAAAAAGTTAGCTCAAACGTCAATAAATTATATATATAAAACAATTTTAAAAATATTGATAAGAAAAAAAATAATTTCATTCGTCAATTTCCTTTCACACCTAGTATAAGTATAATATACAAGATTTTTATATTTCAGATTCTGAGCGAAGTGAGGAACTAGTGGTTTACAATGGTGTGTATTATTATTATTTTTTTATCCTGTAACAAATTTGCCAGGAAGTACTTTGATTACACTATAAAGTATGTTAGCTTTAGAAAATTGGATCAAGATATCTTTAGAAAGGTCATCTTCGATTTTTCAATAGTTATTTATGCCACGAGAAAACCACGACAAATTACGAAAAACCGCCTAAAACCATTGATTAAAAAAAAAAAATCTGACATCTGTGGCCATTAGTTATACAGGTTATTTTATTATTCAATTGAAACTAAAATAAATTCATAAAAATTGACTCACAATCCTAAAGTATTAAAATATAATGACGTTGATTAATATTTATGTGTATGTTATTCTTGGTGTAGTTCATGAACAGCACTGAGTAGCCAGCCTGAATATTACTAGTGTGTATAGTTCACTAATCTACTGCTTTAAGCCGTGTTATCACGCCTCGTTTTTCAACCTGAGTAGATAACTGTGATAATTCAATTTCTAATAATAAAATAAATAACTATACCTTATATAGCAGTATTTATTTATTTTAATAGTATACAGGAATTAGCTCAAAAACAATAGTAATATAATAAATAATAAAGCAAGACATTGCAATTATTAACAGTGTATATATAATATTAATACCACTTTTCAATTAACTCATCGTTAAATGTTCCTACTCTTACCACACATGGTCTTGATGCAGACATTATTTTATCGACTTCAAACTAAATGTCTCAATCTTTTCGTATCCCTGTCTATGCAACAATAGACTACTCATTGTCTACGTCCTTACTCCCTATCCCACTCATCGTACAAACTATAGTCATCTTACACACAGAATGCTACATTATCAGAACTCACTTAATTTGTTATTCATTTAATATAGCAAAAACATCTGTCCTCTACCTCAGATTATCTGTCACATTCACACTATAACTAGTAATTTACAAGTAAAATGTCTTGTTTTCTTTTTTCTAATATTAATTGTTCTCACTACCTAGTACTGTTATTATTACTAATACCGTTCATACACACTGTATTTTACACACATTCACATTATAATTATGTAACTGGTAAATTATTACCAAACATTGTTAGCATTGTTAAAAACATTGTTAACCACCAGATTGGCGATACTTAATTAAATGAATATTATAATAAAATATATTTAGTAAAATAGGCAAACAAGACCATCTCTGTTATCGCATTTTCCATTATACATTTTGTTCTAGTAATATTCTAGTGACCTACTCGATATCAAGGTACACTAAACACCTTCTGTACAGAAGAGCGGTTTCCTACTTGCCCACTTTTTTCTTTTTAAAGAACAATTTTGTAAATTTTACAAGTTAAGAAAATAACTTAAGATTAAAACTAAGATTAATTTAACTAAGATGTTAAATCGTTTCTATATTAAATTAACGAGTTTAAAAACTTTTGATCAACTTCACTCAATTGCACTTAGTAAGTAAATGTTTATGTTGTAAATGTTAATGTTCCTAACTATTTTCTATATTCTGCATCAAACTAACAGGTGGTTGGCGATTCACAAGGCGTTTTACAATTGGTACCTCAAATTTATTTAGCATACTATACTTATGCATACAGGTCATATTTTGTGAACTTGACAAGAACGAGTTCGATATTCAAGAAATGAACTTGAACGTGAACTAAGTTCTTATTAATTATGATTTTGAACGTTTTGGGTTCGTTCATTGAAAATTTAATTTTCATAGAACAGGCGATAGGATAACGTTTTGAAATGTTTTGTGGCCGATCAAGTTCCTTCTCAAAAATCAAAAGATATGATTTGTTTTTAATTTTGTTTATTTTTAGTTTGGATATTTATTTTAGCTTATCGACCCTTCGTACCTGTACTTCCTCGGATATGACTCTGCACACCCGTCATCGCCGACCTGGAGGTCCGGGTCACAAAATGACAACGGATTATTGTATTGTCATCCAAGACCAAGGTCTATACCAATTTTAAGAATCGTTCATCGTCAAAAAGTGCCTCAAATCGAACGCGCAAGATTTGATTACAGACAAACAGAAGTGAAAGCGAACTTAAGAAAAGTGTGTAATAAAAAGAGACAATTTTATGAACTCTAAACTAAAAATAATTTTGCTAAATTTCGTGATTTTTGTCACAAATTAACTTTAAAAGCTTATAAAAAATAATTGTGACTAAGGATTTTTAATAATTTTTAAACGCTATATTGTAACAATGTATTAGGAGCTTTGTATTAAATGTTCAAGCTTTTTTAACCTCAACAAATAAAACTGTATTGACATTCATAGAAAAAAAAGGGTGGGCAAGTGGGTAACAACTATCACTCTTCTGTACAGTAGGTTACAAGTGAGTCCCTGTACTCCCTGGTTTGTATTAAATTTGAATTCAATGATATAATGTCATTGTATAAGAAAAACAATTTTGAGCGAAGACGGTCAGTCAGTCAATGATATTATTAAGTATATATGATGATATTATTGTGAATAAAGTAATTTATACATTACCTATTTACGTGGAACCTTGTTTTAAATTTTTAAATTTTTAATACTTAGCTATAAAAGTTGAACATTTCATAAATTTTTAACTAATTACAAAATAATTATTAAATTTTAAATTTAATACATTTTGTCAAAATTGTAATAAAATGATAAAATAATCGTTTGTATTATGGTATCTATTATATTTATTGTGTACACGAAAATCCAAAACAAAATATCATAGAAAAATTAATAAATTCATCACTCTGCACAAAATCTAAAAGATATACTAAATACTGTAATTTATACAAGTTTTTTTGCTGATCCACTGTAATACAAATAGCATTATAGCTTATTCATTTAATTTGTAAACAATCAATTTAAATTATAAAACAACTTTTATAAAATATTCACAAAAACAAAAATAATAAATCAATATACCTAACCATACCTAACCAACCTAACCTAACCTATGTCATAAATTATACATAAATATGATCATATTTCTACCAACATTGAGACTATTATGTATGCCGATTAGTTAATAAAATGTGGTGGCTTATCAACAACTACTCCACCATAAATTTGTACTTCATTTCTTGACAATCTCTCCAAGGTCCAAGTATTGGTTTTAGGGTTGTAAATTTCTACAGTATCATTGATAGATTCATCAGATTCTCCGCCCATCACATACAATAAACCATCTAAGGCCACTACTCCTATATAAAAATGTAATTTAAATTAAATACATTTTTACAAAGGTTGTCCTAAGGGCTAAGATATATAACTATTATAGTTACCAGGACGAAAGCGGCATATTTCCATATCAGCTATAGAAGACCAAACTCCATCACTCGGTCTATAAGCCTCTACACTTTTATGATACATACTTCCATCATAGCCACCAATTGCATATATCACGCCGTCCATGACTCCTACACTAACATTTTTACGACATTTAGACATATTTGCAACTGTTGTCCATGTGTCAAGTGCGGGATCATAACGTTCCACAGAACAAACAATGCTACCATCACCAGCACCCCCAACCTACACAACTTAATTTTATGAAATGTATTACAAATTAAAAATAAATAAATAATATAATTATTCACCACGTATAAAAGATTATTTAGTACACCAACACCCAAACCATATCTCTTAATTGACATACTAGCCACCATTCTCCATTTTTGAATACTGACATCGAAAACCTCTACACTATTTAATGCATTTTCGTAATTACCTCCACCAACCTAGAATTAAAATATTATAATATAAAATAAGTAACATAAATATTTATTTAACTTACAGCATATATGGAATCACCTAATACTCCGACTCCCAATTGCCATCAACTAACTAACATGTCGGCCATTGGAACCCATG